TAATGTACTCTCAGAAATGTAGTTTCTCTTTCAGTGTCATATTAAACCGATCTGGCTGTATTCAACCCCGTCTCCCATCGACAGTTTTCGATCTATTTCCGCTAGATTGCGAATGTCGATCGTGTCGCATAGCAGTAATATTGTTAATCTCAATAATATATTTACAGGTTAAAAATCTGTGTAATTAGCTCGTTTTTCCGCAATTATATTTCCGCTGCTACCACATTCACTGACGTCAGTGACGCGGCTTATTCCGCCTCAGGGAGATTTGTTACCTTTTGATGTTCTACTTTTAGCCGATCGGATCTTTAGCAGATCCACCGACAGCATATGCTGTATCGATGTCGAGTAGTATTTACATATGTGTGTTGTCTTAATTTTGCGAAAAATAATTTATTATTAATGCGCCGCCGAGTGCGATCTTCTGTTTGATATTCCGTTGACCGGTTCACCAGTGAATTTTGCACCGGATATTTCGAACTTTTGCGTTGTTCTTGTAAGGGTGGCGAACTTTTCTAATATAACTTGGTGAAACAGACTTCCATCAGCGAATACAAAGCAGGTCTGATTTTGTTTTGCTATATTTAGCATTTTGCAAATACAGACACTATCGTGTAGGGCTTTGTGAAACACAACACCTGCCTAATGCACATGAAGACAACCTAAGGTGTTTTACTAACCAGCCGCTAAGTTGAGTTGGCAGGGCTTTCAAGGCTTGTGGGTTCGTTTGAGAGGAACTAAAATGCAAAGAAAACAACGATTTTTACAATCGTATTCATGCGTTCCCGCGATGTAATTACCATAATCCTAATTAGCCGGCTCCGCATTGATGTTTATAAGACGTTGATAAGTCATGTTGAAAACCAAACTAAGCTCTACAATCTAAAGAGAAACGCTTTAATTACTCAGAATTCATCGTTCTAGGTGTTCGTAAAATAAATATGATCCTTACTGCTTATACAATTTTCGATAGACCTGAAGGCGAACAAATGGCTTGGTTTAAATTCATGATAATCTTTCAGTTTCAGTTTCTGTCGTTCAAGTCACGAAGAGCTTTATACGACTTTGAATTTCTTGACCCCTACCGATTTTGCGCTATTGAATAGCGCAAAGTCAGGGGGGTCTAATTTTTCTGCACGTAGCATCTCTGCGGGGCAAAAATTTAATGAAGGATTTTCACAAGAAAGGTGTTGAGATTAGTGAGGTTCGGTACATGGCTATCTATCAACAGATTTAATTTGACACGTCAGTCTAGACAACATTATGAGGTAAGGATCGAGTGCGCTCCGTGGATCACAAAATGTAGAAAATGCATCTTCTCAACGTAAACAAAAATTACGAGACGCCCATATTAAAGTGTGCGTCGTTTCCTTTATGTTGAGCCAAGCAGGAGCACTTTTAGTAAAGAAATCTTTGAGAAAAACTGAAGTAAGAA